GCCGCGCCAAGGCACCTATTGGTGCCTTGGCGCGGCAGTGCGGCTTTCACATTTTCTGCAGAAGAGAAAAGTTGTTTTACATGCTGGTTTGTAAATGTGCCATGATGCCTTTCTACTGTTTTACTGTTCAAAGCCCATTTCGTGTGCACCTTACTGTATAACTGGTAACAAATTGTTGAGTGCGTTTGTCATTTGTTTTGCTTCTACTTTCTGCAGTCGCCATTACTTTCCTGCATGTCTGCCTATAACATTTTTGACAAGGAACAAGACTATATCATTAGAAGTTCAGAAACTAATAAGTTAATCATTCAGTTTATTTTGTGTTTGGGATTCTGTGAAGAATATATCAAATATTATATTGATGTTGCTAAGCCTTAAAGTGTATTTCCATTTTTGCAGGCAAATTGGGATAACACATATTTTATCGTTGTTACATGTTTCTCATTCACATGGCATAACTTAATTTTTGTTAAATGAAATTGCTGCTTGCACAATACATGCTCTATTATGAAAGGGAAGTTTTGCTCTGGAATGTAATATGATTATCCTTGTCTGTACTGTGCTGGCAGATCTCATTATCAGGTGCAAACTAGATTTGAACACTGTCAGTCCTAACAAAGGGTTAGCGATCTAGAAGCATTATATGAGGGGAAGCTCATTCTGTCCCTTGTCTTTCTATGGGGACAGACAGAGTTTCCTGTCACTTGGAAAGAGAGAAGCTTGCAAAGGCCTGTTACAGAGAGACATATATAAGGTAAGAAATATTTTTTTAGGTATGTTGTGTGAATAGAAACATGTAACCTACATATAGTGGGGTTTGCTTAAATTTGACTGCAAAATTGGAAATTCAATTTAAAGATGTAAAAAAAACCATTAAGCTGTATGGCTGTGGATTATATAGTATAACAGGAATTGGGCCTGGTAAAGATGTATTTCCCTCTGCAATTATACTTGACAGATAACAGGAAGCCAAGCAGTTTGTTCAGCATTGCACATTATCTTTCAGGCATAACCTGGAGAAGTCCCTTCAGGAGGACCCATGGGAGTCTGTGAAGTTGGCTGACGTAGGTACGAGTATTCTCCTATTTACACTTTGCATGTGGGTTACAAGAAGGTCCCTATCAGCCTAAGCGCAGTGCAGATACACCTAATCTCCCGGGGCTGAAAACCTGTTCTAACTGGTGCATGGCAGATGTACAGGGGAAACCTATTAGAAATGTATTTCTATATATGCAAAATGGAGCACCATATACATGGCCTGAATAGAAGATGTGAAGATTAATGAAGGGAATATATGACCATATGCCAGTACAAATTGTAGCAGGGGGTTAGAATACCACAAAGCTCTGAAGTGTGCAAGTGCGTTAAAGGGAGCCGCCTGTTCGGTGAACGTCTGCAGAACACCGATTAGAATTGCAAATGAAATCATAAGTGAGAGGCTTCATTCTTCTCATATTCTGTGACAGTTACATGAGCTGGGATATTGAGATTGTTCCTGCCTTGTACTATTTAAACATAAATTACACACTACACCTGCAGTATGAAGAGGGTCTTATTGAATATGCATCATATTCTGAGTCAGTAAATATATTTATCTGCATCACTGCACCTGAAGTATATTTTAATGCTGTATTTCTTTAATATGGGTAAAGATGATTTGAATACAAAGCGGAATTTATTCCGGATGCAGGCATTGCTGCCTTGTTTAGTTTTCACTCCAAAGAGACAGAACACGGTCAACTAAAACTGAGCTCGGTATAACAATCGGGTTCTATAATTGTACTAATTGGAAGATGATACTAATTTGTTTAGATAGTAATCATTCATTAGGGAAAGTTGCCTTTGTCCCCATGCATACAGGCTTCAAAGAAGAGCTATGTTTATGATGACCACTGGACAGTCTGACACTCATGGTTTAGGGAACTGATCACTTTATTGTGTGTTGCATATAAAGTGAAACGCCAACCGAAGCTTTGTATTTAAGCTTCTGGATAGAGTAGGGAAGGGTTAGGTTGTGCTTTTATTACTTTCCTTGTCTACAGCAAAGACATCAACAGCTGTAAAAGCACATTTTTAGGTAGGGTGGGGAATGACTAGAATTTCTGTGTTTTATCACTGTGTTTCCTTGGAAGATGGGCGGGATTCCACTCACTTCCTTTGTGGCCAGTGGTACAGGAAATAAAGCTGGCCATACACCATACAATAATCTGCAGATTTTCTGTGGTCAGATGGAAAAGGTGCAACAGATTCCTCCATCTACACTTAACTGTGTGGATGGAGTAATCTCCACCAATTTGTTGCACTTTTTCCATCTGAACACAGAAAAATCTGCAGATAATTGTAAGGTGTATGGGCACCTTTAGAGTAGATCTCCCCAACAAGGACAGACACCAGTAAAAACCCAAGAGAAGATATCTTTCCCAAAAAACTGAGATGGGAAAAAATAATTTTTAGCTAGGTGTGGACTGTCATACAGTGGCTTTCAAAAGTATTCACCCCTTCTGCCATTTTTCCTATTTTGTTGCACTACCACGTGGAATTAAAATGGATTTTAGATTGATATGAACCCTTAAAATGGATACCAAATCACATTATATTTGTTACTTTCCTCTTTCATGTGCTGAAAAATAATCTGCACTGAAATCCTTTATTTTATTTGCAGCCTAGGAATGTACAGTTGTCTGGCTATCGGGTTCCCTGTTGGTAAGCAGGATGTCTCACACCGATGATGTCCAATCACATCCAGCTCCAGAAATCCCTCTGAGCAACCCTTTATCATATGAAACATTAGAGAGGGGCACTCCTAGGCTGGGCTGTCTGGGTTTAAACCCATTGTCTGGGTTTAATAAAGTGGGATGTGATCTTACATCATCGGTGTGCAGCTTCCTGCTTTCCTACTTAAAGCTGGCCATACACCTTACAATTATCTGCAGATTTTCTATGGTCAGATGGAAAAGGTGCAACAGATTCCTCCCTCTACACTTAACTGTGTGGATGGAGTAATCTCCACCTGGGCCAACCTGTTGCACTTTTTCCATCTGACCACAGAAAATCTGCAGATAAATTGTAAGGTGTATGGGCACCTTAAGAGTGTGGTTAGGCTGTCTTTGGTTGACACCCGGAGTTCCATAGGCCGGGGGATTTTCACACAGGCATGGAGCAGTGACATCTCTCTGCAGGCTTTCTTTTGTTTTTTCACATCATTAGAGACTGCAAAGATTATTTGTCATCTTCTTGCAACCTCTCCAGTATCCTATAACCAAGTGTTATTTTCAGTTTCTGTTGTTTTATAGGTGCTTTAGAGTGGTCTAATTACCCTTGTAAAAGGAACCTGTCACAATTATTGGTGTTGCCACCTTCTTTCAAAATGTACTTGTTCTGTGGCCGCCATGCTCATCTTCTGTTTCGCTGTTCTTGATTCTGTGATACAGAACATGTACGCAGCCACTGAAGTTGAACTTCTATCCTGCATCCTTCTTCTACATCAGTATACACTTCATAGAAGGGCCAGAGGATGAATATGACAACCAGACAAGTAGCTCCAACTAAACAAAGATGACAGTGGCAGCGGATGTAGTTTATGATAAACATTGATGTACTTGAGTGACATTTGCTGTTTTCCGCAGTGCTAGTTTTGGTGGATGTTTCAGTGAAGTGGATGAGAAGCTCTTTGCACTTGGAAGTTCTCAAGTGTTTGTCTCAGAACTCAGCCATCCCCAGCATCCTCGTGCTGAACAAGGTAAGTCTTAGCACATTAGCCTGAGTCAGGCTTCTTAGGATATAGAGAACATTATCAGATAAAATATATATAAATCTTAATTTTCTTTGTATCCCAATATGCACATACATCAGCTTACATGCTCCCTGTAAATTTTGTGCATGTTCCATCAGGTCTATTTTCTTCTCACAATGATATATAATTTACAGTCATCCATATTTTTCCAGCAAGGCTGAATGATATATCTAAGATGAATCAATCCTATATATAGTTATATATATTTGATCCCCTGCAGATTTTGTACGTTTGCCCACTTACAAAGAAATGAAAGGTCTATAATTTGTATCATAGGTGTATTTTAAATGATAGAGACAGAATATCAACCAAAAATCCAGAAAAAACACATGATACAAATGTTATAAATTGAGTTGCAGTTCAGTGAGTAAAATTAGTATTTGATCCACAAGCAAAACATGACTTAGTACTTGGTGGAGAAACCCTTATTGGCAAGCACAGAGGTATGACGTTTCTTGTAGTTGGTTATCAGGTTTGCACACATCTCAGCATTTTTCTTCCTCCAAACACGGCGAGTCGAGTTAATGCCAAAAAGCTCTATTTTGGTGTCATCTGACCGCCGAACTTTCTCCCAATCCTTCTCTGAATCATTTAGATGTTCATTGGCAAATTTCAGACGCGCCTGTACATGCGCCTTCTTGAGGGGGACCTTGCGGGCGCTGCAGGATCTCAATCCATGGCGGTGTATTGTGTTACCAATGGTTTGTTTGGTGACCGTGGTCCCAAATGCCTTGAGATCATTCACAAGCTCCTCCCATGTAGTTCTGGGCTGATCCCTCATTTTTCTTATGATCATTCTTACCCTATGAGGCGAAATGTTGCATGGAGCTCCAGACTGAGGGCGATTGATGGGTATTTTGTATTCCTTTTTTCGCTCCAACAGTTGTTTCCTTCTCACCAAACTTCTTGCTGATAGCCTTGTAGCCCATTCCAGCCTTGTACAGGTCTGCGATCTTGTCCCTAACATCCTTTGACAGCTCTCTGCTCTTGCCCATGGTGGTGAGGTTTGAATGGAAGAAAGAGATTCTGTGGACAGGCGTCTTTTATATACATAACAAGTTGTCGTTAGGAGCACCTTCTTAAATTGACAGGACTAATCCGTGTACCACATAGCCAGTCTGTGGGAGGAGCCAGAATTATTGTTGGTTGGTAGGGGATCAAATACTTATTTTACTCACTGAACTGCAACTCAATTTATAACATTTGTATCATGTGTGTTTTTGGTTGATATCATTTAAAATACACCCATGATAAAAATGATAGACCTTTAATTTCTTTGTAAGCGGGCAAACTTACAAAATCTGCAGGGGATCAAATCATTATTTTCCTCACTGTATATCATTTATTTTTTAGGCCAAACAAAAAAAAATCAGTAACACATAAAGTGAAATGTTGTTTACTTAAGCCTTTTTGTTTTAGATACATGCTTAGGAAGAAAAATATTGCATCATTTAATGTTTGGCCTGTGGCAGGAAGATAAAGGTTATCTCCAGTGCCCTGCTTTGTGGATTCTGCCCTCCAGTCACATAGAGCAGCAACTCTCCTCAACATATTTTTAAGTAGCTACTTGGCCTAAGTTTTCAGGAACTGTTATACAACTTTCAATGCAGATACTGATTTGGTCCATGCAAAGAACCAGTCATTTACAATTTATGGTAATTCTCTGTCAACCATGCTAGCCCAGCAACAACATCAGGGATCAAAATGGGACCAAGTTCCTAATGCACTAGGTCACTAATGATTCAAACATTAATTTTAACTTGTGGTGATACTTCTTTTTTTAATCTCTAACTTAATATTTAGTTTGCTTAATATGAGTGTGTGTGTGTGTCATACACATTTTTGTCTTGTTGTATATCAGTTCTGCTGCTCTCCTGCAGCCACTTCTGTGTAAATGCAGTGCAACAATGGTAGCATGTTATTTCTCAGGGTGAGTTTACTTTTGGTGACAACGGGGACCATACCTGCATAATGTGTGTGGAAGTGGCCAATTGTAGTCTCCTTTGGAAACCCATGTGACAGGGTGACAAAACAGGTAAGCAATTGGGAGACAGGGACAGAGTTGTCAACTCATACCAGGAAGAGTCTAAACAAGTGGCTTCATGGCAGGATTAAGTTTTAGTAATTTGGGTTTACATATACTTTTAACTATATTGAAATGGAAAGGATTTTGGATCATTTGTCAGTTTAACATTTTGGATGTTACCAGTCCTTAGAAAAGGTGTTTGCATTAGTTTTTTCAAGCCTTTTCGTCTACACCTAGTAATCGTGCTACTAACATACTTCCTGTAACTGGACTTCAAACATTTCTGCCTTTGTTCATCTCCAATGCATGGGTTAATGATGGGATTACTGTGAATTGGCGTGCTTTCTGTCCAGCTTACAAGAAATAACAAGGACACTTAATTTCTGTCAAGATCAATAGGTATTTTCTGTTCTTGCCTGAGGAAAGAAAACTAATGCAGCCACCACATCTAGGGACTGGTACCCTGCAAGAAATTACACATTTGTTCTTTTGTTTAGTTTTACTTTAAACGGCGGAGTCTTCCCAGACAAGCCACCACCAATAGCATTGTAAGTGCAACACGTTCTTATTCAGTGTAAAGTACAGAATATTACATCCTGATTTTCTTGCTTTAGGTTGACCTTTTGAAGGATAAAGGCTCTTTGTTGGAAATAACAAACACTTTGACTGAAGGCGTAGTGAATGGGAAGAAAGCACATGTACATTCTGCAATTTCAGGTAGAAGAAAGGGGAAGAAAGGTGAAGCCGAGGCGAACAGCTTTGAAGAGTCAGAGGGATCAATAATCCCAGATGCGACTTCAGACATCCCAGCAGATCTTCTCACTAAGGGGAAAACGAAGCACAAAGACTTGCAGAAGGTTGGGTGGGCCCATTTTCAAGAGGTTTTCATGCTTTCTGCCATACATGGAGGTGAAGTAGATACACTAAAGGTAAACCATATTGTTTAATCACACTGACTTAAAGCTGAACTTTATTGATTTCTCTGGTTTCTTCTATCCCCCATTTATCAACATGCTAGTTATTTTATTTTTTCTTAAAAACCATTCCGTTTAATACATACCTTATTTTAAACCAAGTAATGTCATCACTAGGTCTCTGTGCTTGTCTATATACTGCAGACAGATCCTGGCTGGTGTTAGGGGACAGCAGGTTGCTGTACATAGCTTCCTGTAAACATTCCAACACCCAGCCTCTGCTCGAGTCCTCCGCTCCGATGCAATAGTAGGCTGGCTCTTTGGAGGAGTTATGCAAATATCAGTATGCCATGATGGGTTAGTTTATATTATATTTCAGACCAATTATCTCATCTATACCACTTGGATAAATCTGACAGGATACGTTATAAGATCCTTGTGTCTCCCCTTGAGATTTAAAGACCGTTACCCCTCTGCACAGTAGTTCCTGAGACTGGAGTTCCGGCGTCCCTTTTAAAGCATGCATACAGCTTTATATCGATTTTTGTGATTGTGAGATTTGGCACGGTCTGTATACGTTTTATGCATAGGTTTAGTCCTCTATGGTACAACAAACTACTTCCAGAGCTACACATGGTGCCAGATACTGAATTGTGGATCTGGAGGGGTGTTTCTTTTTAACACCCTGTATTGACACCAGAACGGTTAAGATTTTCACCCAGCTGAAAGAAGACTTCAATCTGCCTAACCACTTGTTGTTCCAATACTTACGGCTGCAGTGTGCTCTTCAGTCACAGTTCCCTATGGAGCTCACAAGTAGCTCTGCCCTGCCAAGCTCATTTCTATATTCTATACTACGCTTCTTACCCCAAGCAGCCGCCCTGGCTCATCAGCCCAGGGTTAAGTGGGAGTGGGAGGTCAAAAGAACTGTATGATGAGGACTGGGAGGGAGCTTTGGAGGCTTTTAAGTTGGTCTCTCCTAAGCTGTCTGATAGACTTATCCTACTCCATATTATTCATAGGTAGCTAGCGTGGGTGTACAGTCATGAATAAACATATAATTTAGATTTGTTGCTCACTTTCCCACCATAAATTTTCTATCCCCAATAATCTTAAAGCAGAACTCCATGATTCTGGGAAGTTAACCCTTGCCGTTACCCCTGCAGTGCAAGGGTTAACTGCTTGTTTTGTCTAGGGAGCGAAAATAAAGAAAAAATACCAGATCATCGATCCTGCTTGGCTGCTAGACCGGTCCCACAGCATCATCTTCCCCAGGCTCTGGCAGTCTAAGGACTCTTGATGTCATCATATCTATTACACCTATTAGACTGTTGAGGGACATACCTCAACTGGGGAGTTGGGGGAGAGAAGTGAGCAGGCACTGCCACTGGACCGAGCATCAAGTGAGTATTCTTTATTTTTGCCCCTAGACAAAAACGAGCTGATAACCCTCACAGTGCAGGGGTAGCCGAACTGCAAGGGTCAACTTTTTAAAATCCTTTAATTTCTTCTCACATTCAAATTCTCTGATATTTCTAATCTGTGAGCACAGTACCAACAGGGTTCATTATGGCCACTGGCCAGAATAAAGGTGAAGGTGGCAAGCAGTGGTGTGATACCCCATGATAGTGTAGCTTTAGTCTGGCTACAGTTGTTCTAGAACACCCTGAGAATCGGAAATCCTGTGGCCTCCTGCTGGCAGTTTAATACTTTCAAGGTGGCTTGGAGAAAATCGTATTAAAGTTTACTATTGGAGGCATCACTGGAGGTGGAGAAGAGGAGCATTACACAGGGTGAGTTTCGGAGGATGTGTTAGCAGTATATGGCAGATCCTGGAGTACAAGCAGCATCCTGGAAAGGATGATTGGCATGGTACAACATGGTTCCTGAGAAGTAGACTTTCAAAGTCTTATTTTGTACTTTTGTAGCCCATCAGCCCAATACCTTTCAGCAACTCCAAATCACAGGACGCCATAGCAAAATTTTGAGTACCCCTTGTGCAAGCCCCATTTCGTTGAAAGGATAAGAACCCCAAAGAAAAGCCCCCTCCAATTGGAACTCATGTTAGCGCCCTGTTGGTGATCAGTGAAGTCGTGCCCTACTCTCACAATGACAGACAGTGGAAATGTGCCTTACACCCCTCAAATTTATCGTCAGGGTAGATGTACCCACCCCCTCACAATGATGGTCAATGGAGAGGTGCCCTCCTCCCTCACATTGATGGTAAGTGGACAGGTGCCCTACCCCATCACATTGGCAGACAGTGGAGAGGTGCCCCCTTACTTCATTGGTGAAGTGCCCACCCAGGAAGATAGGAGACATGGCTATTCCTGTCAAATCTTAAGACCAGCAATGCTTCCTGGCAAAAAGTAAAGTCCTCTTACTCTGCCCATAGTTTCTGCATCATTTAACATTCACATAAATGAGCTTGAGAGGACTTAACAATGTGTCTTGAGTAGGGATGCACAGATGCTTTTCGAGTACCAGTGCAGATACTTGGCATTTTCATGAGAACTGCCAGGGCTGCAGCGGTTGCAGCTGAGACCGGGCTCTGGCGCTCCACCACTGTCCTGAAATCATTAGTTTGTATTGTTTTAGAAAAACTGTCACATGACAATAAACAAAAATGTATCAGTACTCGTACTCGCAAAACTGGTATCTGTGCATCCCTTTATTTATATTTATAAAAACAAAATCGTACAAATCCCAGGAGCTCCGTGTGCTCCTTACAAATGACAGCTACCTCCTAACTTTTGAATTTTCCTCTAGTCTAGTCTTGGAGCTTAAAAAGTATCGGTACTTGTACCGAGTACTGTACTTGGTATCTGTGCAACCCTAGTCTTGAGGTCTGACAAGGATAGGGCTCACTGTACAGGGGTTCCTGGTGATCTGCTGACAGTGTAACCCCCAACTCTTCACAAATCTCCACATGGTTATACAGAACCACCACTGTATTGGGTAAGTAAGCCATCAGGCATGGGCCTTACTATTTGACATATACCCTCTCTGGCATTTTGCTTGTAGAGTATGGACTGACCAAATACTTGCATGCGTATACTGTATTTCAGTGGGTATACAATGCTGACTGAAAAATTATACTTTGGCTATGGAAGTGAACCACTTATATCTCCCATGTATGGGGCCTGAAAATTGAAACAATGATCACTTCCTTCTTTACTGATATTTGGATGAGTTTGTGTGACTAAATACAATGAGGGGAATTTATCAAAACTGGAGCAGACAGAATCTGGAGCAGTTGCCATAGTAATCAGCTTCTCTCTTCCGTTTGCTCATGGAAGATTCTAAAATGAGACAGAGAATCTGATTGGTTGCAGTGCAAATCTGCTCCAGATTTTGTCTGCTCCAGTTGTGATAAATCCCCCCCCAAAATATATTATACTGCATGCTTTCACTTGTCTGTTTTTTTTGTATATCGACATTAAACACAATACAAATGTCTGCTTCTCGTCTTGTTACAGAGGTACCTGATGACCCTTGCCAAGCCTGGAGAATGGCTATTCCATAGTGACGTTGTTACCACCCAGTCACCCCAGGAAATCTGTGACAATATTATTAGAGAGAAGCTGCTGGAATACTTACCCCAAGAGATACCATACGGTATCACTCAGGTACGATGCTCCAGTCCATCTATGATGACATTTTTCTGGACAAATTCACGGATGACTTGTTTTATAAAGCAGAAGTCACTTGTGTTAGCTTGTGGGATAAAACCAAGATGTGGTTACAATTATTGTTTTAAAGAAAACCTGTACTGAGAGAAATATGTAGGTATTCCGTGACTTCCTTCTGAAAATGTCACTTGGGTTTATTCTGAGTTACTGACCCAGGAGACGTCGGAGTGAATCAGTACTTCTAATTTGTATACTTGTGCCAGACTCAAAGTACTGAATCACCATGCCAGCCATGGAACTAGCTTTTTCAGAAGGAGAGCTCACAAATGACATGCTATACGCTCCCTCAGTACTGGTTTTCTTTGAATATTTTAATATAAACAAGGAAACTTCTGGTTGCTGTCATGCCAAAGCGTATAGCGCAGCAATAAAGACTAAAAACCTGGTAAAGGGCTCTCACAAGAAGCTGCCAAGGTACCCGAGGGCTGCCAGCGATTCCAGAGGTATTGACTGAAAAGTGTTCTAAGATATTAAACCTTTGTGAAGGAAATATTAGGGTGTGTCTAAAGTTGGTCGTATACACTACAATCTAATTCTACACGTTTTTGTTTTTTTAAAGCAATATGCTGTGTGATTTAAATACAGCATATCCAAAAAATACCAAACAGGCAAATATTTTCCCTTTTCTTATAAAAGGAATGTATAGTTGTTTTGTACATGTTTATGTTTCTGTATATGAGGCCATCTGAGCCCTGGAGCAAGGGAGCAGTTATCATGATCTACATTCTCTAACATCTCACAGCCGAGAGGCAGCTGATGTTTGTGTGTTTCTTTTCATACTGCAATTGCTTTCTCCTATTAAGAGTAAGGAATAAACATAGTAAATGTCATAGGTACATTTGTATGTGATATTCATTTAAACGGTGGG